CCCCTGCAATGACACGGCGCCCCCCCTAGGGGGCGCGCCCCACAGTTTGGGAACCTCTGCACTAGACAAAGTTTTTGCTGGTAGAGATAAACTGTAAAAGAAAGCTGGAACTTCAGCAAAAAGGTGGTTCTACGAAGTACTGACTCAGAGGCTGAATACTTTTCACACCACACTTTTCAGTTTTTTATTGGTAAAAAAAAAATCATGTCTTTTTCTACCTCACAACTGTATACAATTGCGTTGATCTTACACACAAAATTTCAATAAAATATATTTGTTTATGGTTGTAATTTGAGAAAACATGGAAAAGTTAAAGGGTTATGAATACTTTTGCAAGCCACTGTAGGTAAAAGATGCCATAATGCTAAAGTTTTTCAGCTAGGGATGGAAATATAAACAGAAAGTGGTCCAACAACACAGCCTGGAGGAAATTCATCAGTGCCTGGCTCCCTATTCTGGCAAAGGTCAATTCAAGAAATGGGAGTAGCAATGGGCATGTGTCAACTGCCAGCAACAGCCCTTACTGCCTCTAATGGTGCAACAGAAATTAACTCATAAGGCAAAGTTCATTACTCCATCACCTCACATTTTACATATGCATTTGAACTGGTAATCTGTAAATTTAGCAATGTTGACCACATCACATTTTTAAAACAGTGAAGTGAACCAGCTCTTTTTCTTTCTACATTCTTAGGCCTCATCTCACCAGGCTCTGTTGTGAGAACTTTCAGTTTTATGACTTGACATGAGATTGAGAAATGTTTGAAAATTCTAATTTGGCATTTTAAATTTGTTTGCATTTCAATGCTGTTCGTCGTAAAACAAACATTTGAAAGTTGAATTTTGCTTGTGACCTTTGTGACGTTTAATACACGTGACTATTTGTGCTTCCTTTTAGCTGGATTAAACTCAGAAGTGTTTGCAATTCATAACTGCTCTAGTATTAACAGAAAAATATAGCTTTTTTTTTCACTTGACCCTCTTGGTCCACACAAATTAACTATGACGTAAAACTGCTTCCCAGTGTTTTGTATTAGTAGCTGGATGGCAACGTGAACTAAACTGGTTATTTGGATGATCTGTTAAGACAGAGGAAGCTATGATGCATAAATAAGCTTGTCTAGCTTGTTTGACTTGACCACCATAACATAACCTCACTTGCACAAAATGTATGCAAAGTCATTCCCAACAGACAAGTTTGGATTCATTCTTTTTGCTTGTTTTTTTTTTTTGTTTTGTTTTTTCAGATCCAAGCCAATGCAGATCAGAGAGAGATAATTTGTGATGGGTGTAGCTTATTAGACATCATGTCACTTTGGGTGGAGCTAAACAAAAAAATTCTAGTATTTAATGCTGAAAACCAGAGAAAAGAGGTACTGGTGACAATGGCTCTTCAAGGGTTTGCATGGGGCATCACTGTGATGATCACGCTCTTCTTCAAGGGTGAGAAAAAAATATTTACCTTAAATACTGATAAAGAGCATATGCAAACTGCTTATAATCACTGAATCAGTCACTGCTGTTTCACAAGATTAACATTTAGGGATAACATTTATTGTTCAGGTTCCAACATATTGGAAACAATACATTCAGCAACAGTTATATTTAAAAAAAATCTCTTGACAAATTTAGAGTTATATTAATAATTTAGTTAAAATCAAATGTGTTCTTGGTATTTTTGATTATATATATATATATATATATATATTTTTTTTAAATCAATATTATTGATGTTTTTTAATTATCATTATTAATGTTTTTAATGTAGGTACTAGAAAAGGAAAAACTGTTTTTCCTTTTCCTAGAAATAGTAAAATGCCTTTCCTAGGAAAGGCCTGGAACCAGACATACAACCAGGCCCGCTCCATGCTCCTCCACCCAGCAACCTTACCTCCACGGCCGGCCACACACCCTTACACAACAGAACCACACACACCTTACCACCTCACAAACCTGAAGTGGCAAAGGCATTGTGATTAATGGCACAGTGCCTTTAATCACCAAACCAGTCTTTTGCTTGCAGTTCACCAATATTTGAAGAAAACCCCTTAAACCATTTTCTAGGTTTCAGCATATTGGAAACCTAGAAAATATTAGTTACTCTTCCTTTATTCTATATGGGACTGAATAGATCTATGTAAAATATAAATCCAATTGTCTTTTTTTTTATTCATTAATTTTTAGCCATAAGACTTAAAGTTCTGTTTCCAATTTGCTACAGAATCCATCTCCATGAACCACTAGAGCACATGCTGCTCACTTAACTACTTTATTATTTTACACTTTTGCAGTATTCGTTTTAAATGATGCATTTTCACGAGAATGCAAATCCACCTACACCTGGCCATATGTCCTTTAACAACTGACTTGAGGATTTTTCACCCACTTTATCAGCCATAGTTGACAGTAATTAAACTCAAAATCTGCAATAAAATGTAGTTTTTCTCTGAGCTGCCAAAACTAGTTCAGAGAAAAACTCAATATCAATCGCTCATTGATACTGAGTATAAGTAGAAATATCCTGAAACAGTCTACAGTTAAATTATCTGTGAGATGGAGGTAATTCATATAAATACTTAATACTTTAACTACCTGAAGAAAATCTGATAGTCATTGATTCAGTAGATTTGGATTATATGGTTGCTTTACAGGCACAAGATGGAAAAGGACAGGGGGTTTGGATGATCGCTTCTCTAATTGTTTTCATGTTCAGTCAATCTTGGTCAATCGGCTAATCTTAAAAGACCATCATGTCAACTTGTGGATAAACTGAACTACCGATGAAATACAAACATTTGCCTCGTTTAATACAGTTTATTTCTTACTTTTGTAAATTTTATATTGTTTATTATTGGCTTCATATATGATAGTGACAAAAATAGTCATCTTGCACTATTTGAAACTAGACTCTTTCAACATCAATGATGTAAAACACATGACTGTAGTGAGGGGATAAGATCTGATGATTGCATTGATGTGCATCTGACAGAAATGTGAGAAAAAAAAATCTCAGCTAACTTGTTTGTTTCATATATTTATGTGTGTGCATGTGTGTGCGTGTGTAAATTGCAGGAGGTGACTCTCAACCCGGTAAGTATCAAACACTCCTTTTCTAGCTTTCCGTTAACAGCAGGGGAGAAAAACCTATTATACTTTAGTTTTTTTTACCTGTAAAATGATTAACCTTTGCTCATAGTTTTTCGGGTGGGAAAAATAGTGCATCACTTAGAATGCCTTACAAAAGTATCCAGACCCTTTGAATGTGACGTTGGAACCATAAACTTGAATGTATGTTGTTGGGGTTTAACTTTATAGTCCAATGCGAAGTAGTGCAAAATAAAATGAGACCATTATGATGTTATTTTTGTTGGTTCCAATAACATGCACTGAAATTGATGCTTGTAATATGACAAACATGCATGAATGAAACATTGTACATTAATTAGCTTGAGTCACTTTTGTTAAACATCATTGACCAAGCAACTGGCTAACATTCATTTTTCAGGTTTTTTATATTTGGCATTTCAAGCACCACATTTTTGACAAAGATTTGCCTGTGTGTTGTGGGGGAGTAGAAAAATAAATTTTTAACTGACCAAAGTATTGAAAACTGGTTGCAGCATTAACGTTTGTTCCTGTTTTGTGACTGTTGTAAAGCCTGTGCCAGGACTCCCATCAACAGCAGGATCATCGGAGGGCAAGCTGCGTCTCCAGGAAGTTGGCCCTGGCATGTGTCTTTTACCTCAAATGGCTACACCTTTTGTCAAGGATCTCTGATCACCGACGAGTGGGTGCTGACAGCTGCTCAATGCTCAACAAGGTAGGAAGCCATGGTTTGGTATTTTTGCTTGTGATTATGAACAAAAGACTGTAGGAACCAACAAATGAAATCTCTTAATGTATTGCATTCTTTTTTAATAATTCAGTTGTACTTCACGTTATTGTTTCTTAGAGTTAACTTTCAAAGACTTTTCGATTCCCGGTTGCCCTGCCCTCATCGTTTGTGTCCCTGGGCAACATAACCTTACTTCCCACGTCTGTGTTGGTGAGACTGATGGCGCAAAGCATGCAGCCTCGCGCTTCTGTCAGCCGGAACTATGGCAACTGTAGCTAAAATCCAATAGTTTGCCATCATCAGCGTGTGAATGAGCCCTTGGAGATTTCAATTTGAGATAAAGGAGTTTAATCAATAAAATTATTAAAATTGATCTAGTCAACTCAAAACTGAGATTTCACCTGCAACAAACTCATTGAAGAGCAGCAGTCATGTCAGTTCAGCAACTGGATAAAGGATGCCAGGTCTACACCTTTATTATTGAATTGAAAGCAAGAAAGGCAGACAAGGATCTACCTATAGTGATACCCAGTGACTATGTTCAAACACTTTCTCTCTCTTCTTTAAGCTATTACCTTAATGGTGCGGTTTTGCACTTTGGTGCCACCAACCAGTCTGGACTTGGTGAAGTGACTCGGAGAGTTGACCATTTTGTCTGCCATCGAGACTACACCTACAACAAAGAAAACGACATCTGCCTTGTGAAGCTGTCTGCTCCTGTCAACTTCACTGACTACATCCGACCGGTGTGTTTGGCTGCAGAAAACAGCACTTTCTATGATGGGACCAGCAGCTGGGTTACTGGTTTCAGCAGTTATGGTAATTTCTACAGTTTTGTTTCTTTATGTCAGCTTTCTGTGCAATACCATTGTTGAATTCTTCAAAGCGAAATAACCCTTAAAACTTTTTTCTTTAGGATACTACTATCCCAACACTCTCCAGGAGGTTGATGTATCAGTATTTGGAAACACTAAATGCAGCTGCTTGTACCGCACCTACTACTACTACTACTACTACTACTATGGTCGTTCAATAACAGACAACATGATGTGTGCTGGGAGTGAAAATGGCTCAAAGAATGCATATTATGTAATTACCCTTTTTTGTTCTTTAATTTTTTGATTTTATATTTTTGAGGTTTTAAATCTGCAGTAGCAACTTTATTTCTTTTAAATATTTGTTAAAACAGCATCTTACAGTGTTGCCATGTCTCATACTGTACTATCACAACAGTGACTGATTTAAGAAATGTATATAAAAAATAGCATATTTTCCAAGTGACACAGCAGATTTCATTCAATTTAGTCAGTTCTCATCTCAGACAATTTAATGAGATGTGTGTTCTGTCTCACTTTGTTGATTGTAATATAGTAGCAGTGTTTTTGGTTTTTTTAAACTGCCTGTCTCCATTGGACCAGATTGAAAAACACTGTTAAACATGTTGTAAAATTCTTCCACAGGGAGACCAAGGCGCAGCTCTAGTGACCAAGAAAGACTCCATCTGGGTCCAGAGTGGGATTGTGAGTTATGTTTATAATAACTACCTGGGCCGACCTTCTGTCTACACCCGTGTGTCCCAGTACCATAAATGGATCACCGACAGAGTCACTGGCATGGAGCCAGGCTTTGTTACCTACACCTCCCCAGGCAATGACAGCGACTTTAACTACACCTGTCCTCCACCACCATCTCCCACACCCTATCCCACTTGGTACCATAACATTTCCACTTGGCACCCTTACACTACCACTGACGGCAGCATATTTGGCAGTGGTGAAACTCTGATTCCCATAGCTCGCGTGTTCCCTCTCTCTGCTCTTGTTCTGTTTCTCCATCTGTTTGTTGGTGGTGCTGGAAACTAACTCATAACTTTTACTCATGCTGCATTCTAATTCATAACCAACTCTCTACATTAGGATCAAAATGCTGATATTGTTCGACTGATTTAGTTTTATTTCACAAATTAAGATTTCTACAAAGCAAAGGAAGGGTGTAAAGTTTATCTGGTAATTAGTTTAACAGACCTCTCAAAATTGAAAGATTTTTTTTTCTTTCTGTCCTTTACATTATGTTGATTTTATTTACCCAACTATAAATGCCAGTTAAGTGTTTAACAGACAACAGGTTTGGGACTTTTAGCAACCAATCATACTGTTATTTTATTAAATGTGAAAAACAATCGGTGATTAGTGATAAACTGTGATTAAAGTCATTCAAAACTATATATTTCTGTTGGGTTCAATTATTTTTTTTGTGCCAACCCGATATTTCAGAGTTGAAAGGTTCAGCGAACAGTTTGGTGTCCAGTTTGACAAAAAGACGGAAGCAGTTTATGAGTCTGGCAAGGGATTTTAATACGTCTCAGGAGAATTTCAATTAAGCCAAGCCAATCCAAAATAAATGTCAAGAAGTGAGCATTTCTTCGTAACCAGGAGAATATCTAATGGTTTGTCTTTAACTTTTCACAAGACTGTAAGTACAAGACCTGCTTGACTACATTTGAATTACTGGGAGAGCAATTTTGAAATGCTTCCTGGAAAAACTAAGAGCCAGTTTTTTAAGAAGGTGTGCCAGGTAAAAATGTGACTTGATAAGTTCAAGCATACCAGAGTCAGAATGAATCAACAGTTTTCGATATGGGAAAATATGTCCATCTTATGTCGCCCAGATGAAAAGTTACTGTGGGACATGCACCTGCAAAGGTTTAATTGCTGGTTGTTGGTCAGAAATAATCATTTCCATTTGTTTTGAAAAGCTCATTACATGTAACCGTGAATATCAGTAAAACAGTAAAAGCGCCAAACCGCACAGCATTTTACTTGGTTTCCTACCTACAGCCATGCATTTTGCAGGCGTATTAGGCACAGGTCCAGACTATTATGAATCTAAACTAAGGCTTAAAAAAAAATAAAAGATTTCAAACTCATTTATTTTATCAAGCTGACACTTTCTGTGTAGAAACTAAGCACATTCTTCCTGTTTCCATAGGATTTATGAGGGAAAGTAGTGGCTAGGTGCTGCCACATGAACAAACTTAACTATAACTGACCACCATTGGTGTGATCACTTTTATAAAAGCTGGATGTTGGTCAGTTTTCTGGTCTAAGGCCTAGATGTGTGTGTCAGCACTGTGGCACAGAGGAGTGACCGATGAACTTGGTCATTGATGAACTTCGCCATCGGTCAGGCACCAACAAGTGAAACACAGGCGTTTCACTTGTTGGTGCCCATAGGTTTGGGGAACTCAGAGGAAAAAATCTCAAGGAGTATATCTAATTTCTCTCATTATTGTTCATAATGAACAAACCAAAACCATGATCAGCTGCACAGTGGTGGAGGGATAATGATTTGGGCTGCACATCGCAGTCATCGACCCAACCATGAACTCCTAACCAGACATCAGGCCATGCACTGAATAGCTGAAGCTTCATCTCAGCAACCCGATGTTTCAACACGGCAAGAAAACAAAAACAAAACAAGAAAAGAAACTTGATGTCGCAGTGGCTGAAAGTCAAAGCTCAGTTTGACTGACATGTTCAGGAGAACTGAGCAAAAAACAATGTTGGCAAAGAATAAACTTCAACAATGTTATTTGACAAGATGCTCCTTTTGACATCTTTCAACTTTGTGTTTATGTACTTCGATGAAGAAACGTACTCGACAGCGTACAGACATGTGAATTGACAAAACATAAATTGACAAATTGTTGAAGCCCTTCATTTTTTTATAGAAAACCTTTCTCAATACATTTCACTGTACTAGTGCATCCAACATGGCTTCCCTGTCAGACTAAATCAAATATTTTTTTTCATTTTATTGGGTGACATTATGAGTATGATGACTTGGTTTGGTCCAAATTTAAAAGATTTTCTAATGTCAAAAACAGGTTTCACCCTTCTCATTGAAAGATTACAACATTAGCTGATGCTAACAAGCATTAAAAGACAATTCTCTGATTACATAAATATAGCTAAAGTCAAATAATTTAAAATGATATTACTAATAAGAATTATTTTTTTAGTCATTTTATATTTGAACAAACATGGTTTTACAGTAAGGAGAGAGAGTCATGAGTTTACAGGTTTGCCAAGACATCTCAACTCACCTGAGTCTTACAGGTAAACACGAAGTGGAAATTCACGGCCGGGCACATTCTGCCTGAAAAAGAATCCAAAACAAACACAGCTCATGCATTCCTGATAGTTAACTTTTGAACACTTTTACTTTGATGTAGGGAGATAAAATCTAGTAATCTGTTGCTGTGCAATGTTTTTCGGGCAGCTTCTTTCGTTTGTCTGAACTACCTGATGTGAGGCTAAAGTACACTGAAGCAGCCGAGATGCTTAAAATGCATCCAAAACTAGTCGGTCAAGTTTAGCTTTTACACGTTTTATGTTTTTGTGGGGAAAATAGCATGCTGCTGCCACAGTCCACAGCACAACAGCCTTTTCTGTGGACATGTGGTAGAAAACTGAGTTATGAGATTGGGTAGAAGTGATTTTTTAATTACTGGGACTGAGTTTCCAAGCTATTGACATTAATGTGCTGTCAAGATTGTCTGACTAGTGGGTTGGGTAAGTGTTAAAAGACTGTATGAGGCTTGAATTGTTCAGAGCAATGCTTGGAATGCCTTGGGATCTGATGTTGGCTACTGTTCTCCTTGCTGCAGCAAGCAATGAAGCTCAGGGCTCAGAACTGCCTTGGCGGTCTTTGGTAAAAGGTTTTGTTCCGTTACAGTTTTAACAGCAAATGGTAAAGCTACTGTATGCAACTTATTTTAAAAATCAGCTTTTTTACATATTTATTAAAACCATTTCCATGTTGTGAGAGTATGGTAATCTGTTTAAAAAAAAAAAAAAAAAAACAGCTCTTCCACCCCCTCCCTGAGCACAACAATCCTGGTCAAAAACAACCAATCAGAGCCAGGGGGAGGGTCTTAGAGCTGTCAATCAATCCTATATATGAACTGCCAAGTGTGCCAATGGTGGAGAAACAACTTAATGTTACAGGAAGTCATCATCAGTGGTCATGCTAACTAGCCTTAGCATTCCTGCTCAGGCTGTGCTGACGGGGAGAAGCTGCAGCCTAGCAGAGAACAAGGAGAGACCAGCGTGTACCGAAGCAAGACTGACAACTCTCCTCTGCAGTCACTACTGGGAGAAGACAGAAGAGATCAGTATTTCCACAGATTACCCATCTGATCATACTGTCACAACAGGGTGATAGTTTTAAACAAAAAGTCTTTATAAAAGTTACCTACTGTTGCTTTAATTTCAGGAGGGATTTAGGTTCATAAACATCTCAACTAGCACATGATTGAATATTGGAAGAAAAAGTATATTCAATGTTAACATTTTCCACATTTTGTGCAACTAAAATATGATGTATGGCGCTCACATTTATTCTTTCATTTTTACTGTAATATCCTTAATTAAAATGTAGCACAACTAAATCCCTTAAGATGTGATTTCATTAGTTCAAAACAGTGCAACTGTGTGCAGTTCAGCACAGTTTAGTGGAACATAATTTTTAGTAGACAATATATTTGCCTGTGTTAATACGAAAACCTTTGTTTTCTAGTGCTAAGTGGTTGAAATTGTGAAGGTCTGATTGGAAATAAGAGTGGAGTTTTTAAAGTTGCAGGTTCACTGCACATGTAGGACTCTTAGCCCAAATGGGTTCCCATTGACAGCCCCTCAAATGACATGTTTTTGGACCTACTCTAAATTTGCAAAGGTTGTCCACTTGACTACCTTTTCAACCTTCCTGGTGGACTTGCTAGTGACTTTTGTCTTACATTTACAGGTTTACAGCAGAGTAACACATCGACTCCACCTGCCAACGTTGACTTCAGACAGGCATCAAACCCAACGTGTTTTTCTAGATTTTTCTTGAAGCATGACTCATCAGGTTCAGTGACGAGAACTCATTACTCAAGATATGAGAAAAAGTGCTGTGGGTGGAGATAAAGATCAGAAGGGTGTGTGCGGTTAAAGCAAGCTAGGCACAGCTGTTTGTATATTAAAATAAGGTATTCTTTTTGAGGGTTGAAACTGTTATCTGTCCATCCATTGGCTTTTTTCACACATCTGCTCCTGCAGCACATCTCAAAATAAGCCAGCCTCTCCTCCCCCTGTAGGCTTAAATTACCACATGAAAATGGAAAAATTCATTTTCAGTCTTTGTCTACCTACATCTTTAATTTATTTATGATTGTATTCACTATCCATAAATCTGCTAAAGGCTCTTTCATATTATAAACAGGAATTAATCCTCCAAGAGATTTATTATAAAGAGATTAAAGCTTGATCATTTTGAATTTCTTTAGGAATCCAACAAAATGCCTTTTTGTCTTTGCTTAGGCTTTGCCAAGACCTTCTAAGTATTTGTTTCATGTTGTTGGCTGATACTTTTAAAACAAAAAGGATGAGATTAGGACACGCAGTAAATTCCAGATCTTTTATGTCAACACGTACACATTAGGCTCCACAGAAGCATCAAAAGCACACACTCTCTGGTCAATATGTAAAATTTTCCAAAATTCACTTCATCTAATCAAATAAAACATATTTAAACAAAAATGGAAATATTCAAAGCTGCTGTTGGCATCAATTTAATACATTGCATGCACTTTCCAATAAAACTATGAAACATTTTTTTAGTTATAAATTTATAAACAGGCTATGAACAACTTTTTGACTAGTCATCACTGCACTGGATTCTCTATCCAAAACATCAAGTTTAGTTTGTGAGCCTCTTATTTCTGGAAGCTTGTCAGGACATTTCTGCCACCATGGGAGTCGGTTCTCTTATTGCATCCTCTTTTCATGTCTTGACACATGAAGGTCCTGGTCTGCCTTGACCCAGTTTACTAAAACTGGGTCAACCACATCACTGGTTGTCAAAAGACGACCAGAAACCAGCAACACCATTTCACAGGTTTCTCCAGTTTTAGTCGCAACTGTAGAAGCTGCAGGAGATTAAAAGTTGAGCAACCCGTTACTGCCGTGTCAAGCTCACCAAAACAACTGAAAACACGCCTCCGAAGACTTCTGCAGTAGTCAAAAGGATTTTATGAAGAAAATTTTTATGAAACTAGAGGCCTTGATCAAGCTCTGCTGGGAAATGCACGTTCTATTGCTTATGTAGAGATAAACAATAGAAGGATCTATAGACAATGAAACTTTTCACACAAAAAAATAAAAATTAACCCCAACCTTAAACGCATTAGAAGTGAGTGAATAAACTAAAGTCATTTGGGGAAAAAAGAAGAAATAGATTTTTTCCTTTTTCTATTTTTTCATATTGTTTTTAAATAAAATGGGTTAATTTTTTTAAGAGTTAGAATTTTAAAAGAATTTTAAAATGTTTTATATTTTATGCAACAACAGGAGGGGAGGAAACATTTTCAGTTGCAGTAAAATAACTTGTGGTGCCATAAATGTTATGTTGAAGATCCCCTTTGATGATGTGGATAAAGATCCAAGAGATTTTAATGAGCTGTAAGAATGTCAAAGCACATCTACGGCAAAATATTTAAATCTAGATTTAGAACTGATGTCATCCTAACTCACCCATTTAAATCCAGACATCTGGCTTCTGAAGCCGTCAGGTCCCGGCAACTTTACAGACGACTTTAAACCGGTCCGGTTTTATTAAAGACCTTTAATCGGGAGATAAATCCTACAACAGGGCTAAATAGTTTCAAATAATATTACTGGTGCAGTAATTGTTGGAAACCATTAAAATATAAATTCAACAGAAGCAATTATTTTTGAAAAAACTTCTGCTTTACTTTTATAGGCGTTTCCAATATGATTTAATAATCATAAATTATTAATATATGACTTTCTGGGGGACAACCGTTCTGTGACACAGATGTGTTGATATGAAAAGGAGTCTCAACACTGGATGAATCAGTGACAGATGCTGTGTCAACATCAAGTGTCATTGATAAAGGACATTATTATAAAGTATACTGGGATACATGTGGATGCCAGAGATTATGAACAACAAACATTCAGATGATATGCAACATCTTTCTGCAAAAACTAAAGGACCTACGCTTCCTCAAGAATCACAATCTGTCCCTTCTTGTGGACGACTTCACTGTCCAGTCCGACCTAAATCGTCTGGTTGCCTTGGTGATCACAAAGCTATTTATGCACCACCTTCTCCTGTGTTTTGTTCAAATTTAAGATGAGATAACAGTTCTGACACATGCTACCCAACTACTCAATTTCTTGTCCGTCTCTGATACACTAAACTACTGCAGAACCGTCAGTAAGTCTGAGGTTTATAGAGTGAAAAGGAATGGTGAGAGAACAGTGCCCTGTGGTGCTCCTGACTACCTGGTCAGACACAAAACCTCTCAGTCTCACTTTTAAACCAATTGTTTGCCAGTTTTAACAACGTCTACTATGGACCATTTTAAAATTGTTTCAACTCTCCCTCAGCATCAACAATGAAAACATTTTCTGGGATATATTTTGCAGTAGTGTAATAAGTAGGGAAATCAAAAAAGAGGTTTGATCTCCTTCCTGTCAATTTCAATAAAATTCATCAGAAAGGAACAGAAATCTTCTCCGGTTAAACTCCTGTTAGCTTCCAAGACTAATCAGATACAATATTAGACGGGATGTTTGAGCCTCATAAACATGAGACACTGCGTACCAACAGAAGCCCTTCAAGGTTCATAAACTCTCCCTAAAATGAATGCCAAATGGGCCAAAAGCACCTTATGTTTCAGTTTCATTCACTCTCTGAATTTTAAACTTGACGCTTTCGCACATGAATGGAACTGCTGTCCCCTACAGGCGAGCTGCAGATCATTTCAGCCCAGCCCCTTCTCAAATGTTCTGGGTGGCTGCTCAGAAAACTAACCTGCAATCATCCTCAAGCAACAGAAATGGCTTCATTGTTATTCTGCAGCTTTGATTTTTCTTCTTCTCGGTGGTGGAAAATGTGGATTAATGGCCTTCTTGCATTGTGACTCATACAGAGCAGACAAAATCTAAACCTGTCCCCATAGAAAAAAATATGTTCCATGATATACCCACGTTTCTATTTTTACACCTTCAAGATTTCAGAAAATTTCATGAACGAGACAGGGTTTGCGCTCTTCATCACAGGTTAGTTTAAATCAGTGGTGTCCAAAGTCGGTCCTTGAGGGCCGGAATCCTGCATGACTTGGGTCTCTCCCTGGTTTAACACAGCTGGATCAAATGATGGCTCATTGGGAGCCCTAAGAAGAACATTGAAATGCTGAGGAGGTTGTTGCTACCACCAAGGAGAAAACTAAGACATGTAGGATGCCGCCCTCGAGGACCGACTTCGGACACTAGTGGTTTAACTGATGTATATACGTCCCGCGACACTAGAGGGGGAGTGCAGAAAATGTCACGGTCGGATAGCGGCGAAGCAAAGAGGGAGTAGGAGAGGAAACAAAAGCGAACGCAAAGTAGGGAAAAAAAGTTAATGCGGAGGACTACTCGACCCCTCTAAGGACTGCAGGAGGGTTAGAAAAGATGCACTTTAAAAACATGGCAATAAAATATCTGTAAAAATGTAAAACTTGTAATTATGAAAACATCACTCCAGCATCCTCACCTCCACAATCACCAGCCCTTATTGCTCATGAGCCATTTGAATGTTTCCACTGGAATTTTCACAATTTATCTTTGATGATGAGCTTATTACTTAGATTAGATTTATTGTCGTCGCTCAGCATTTTTAGCGGTGCCGTGAGATTAATGGAGCAGCTCTGCTGAAAGCTTAATAAACAAACAAGACACTTAGCAATAGACAGAAAAAGACAATGTGTGGCTGAATTGGCAGTTCCCTAAATCTACCAGAGGTATGAATATTTTTGCACTTTGTTTCTAATGTCTTCCTTTCCTGACAGTCATTAAACAATCCAATTGGTCACCTGCATCATACTAATTTTACATAGATCTTGACCTCACTTGAAGGGTAAAAAAGACAGTAAGGGCGGTGTGGGTTAGGCATTGATTAAAGAAACTGCAAGTTGAGTTTAAAAAAAACAACATTATATAATAAAAATAATAATTTGCTTCTGCTTAATCAGGGCCGGCATCCTGCATGACTTAGGTCTCTCCCTGGTTTAACACACCTGGATCAAATGATGGCTCATTGGGAGCCCTAAGAAGAACATTGAAATGCTCAATGTTTCCGTTTCAGTTTTGGTGAGGGAACATATAAATGTCCGTATGTGTAGCAGAAGTATTTTAGAGGTTGATGTGCAAAAGGGCCTTAGAAAAAAAGCTACGACTGAGCAGCAGCAGTGGAAGTAACCAGATAAATGACTCCAAATCAACAAGCTTGATTCAAATATTTGTTTAAAAAAAATGTTTCAAGTCTCCCCTGGAGCTGAAGGAGATCCGGAATTTCACATCCACTGAACACAGTTCTTGTGCTGTAATGTTGTGAAGAAGATGAGTTGGTGTCTATGGCTAGGTGATTCTGCCTCACACACATGCAGAAACACACACTGACATGTTTGGCTGAGTGTGAATTACAGACATAATGAAGGTACAGCAATGGTAATGGTTCAGATCCACCACTTTTTTTTTTATTACTACAGCTAAGATCTCCAAGGAGCTGTAAATTTAAATTTATTTAAGTCAGAAAGAAAGGAGTCACTGATATGTTAGACAAGCATATTTTAGGTGTTTGCTGCTGGCCTGAATAAATGTGGATATGAATGTGTGAAATTGTAGCTGAATGTCTGTCTTCCCTTCTAATAGTTTTCCCCTCAGTATCTGGTCTCTACTTTCACGCTTTCTTCCACTCTTAGTTATTAATATCACTACAGTTGATAAGTTGCATAAAGAGTGTGTGTTAGAGATACAGAAAAATAAATTGCTTTAATCTTCCTTTTTGCCGTTTCAGCTAGATTTTTGAACCGGCTGCAGGTGGACCAACACGACCCCGGTTTTCACACATGGTTAAGACAAAGACCCAAGGCTGATCAAGGTAATAAATCAGCTTGATGTATTCTGTACAGCGGTTCGAAGTACAGTTTGCATAAATGGTGGCCTGTGTGATGCAAATTGTTTTTTAAAGCAGAAAACAAGGCTAAAGTTTTAGGAAAGCAAGAAGTATCAGAAAAAAAATAAAAATCATAGAAGGAAAAGCACTTCTCTGTATTTGAGAAGTGAAGAAACACTTTGCAACATTGGCGATGGTGGAAGGTGTTTGTCCCGTAATCAATGGGTTGCTGGTTTGAGCCTTTGCTCCATCCGTCTCCGCTGTGTTGTCCTTGGGCAAAATACTTTACCCGTCTTCAACATGTTCCTAAGACACCATTTTAATCCAGACTTCTTTAGACATTGGTAGGACTTCACGATATATGCTACTCTTTGGTTTGGGCCAGGGTAAAACGTTATGTGCTTTGAAAAAAAAAATCAATTTTTAAAGCACAGTTTCCAACAACCTTGAAATAATAAGCAAGAGCCACAATAAACACTTTTTGACATTTCCTGGATTAACAAGGTTCATGTCAAATACTGGAGAAGAGCAGGGCAACAATTTGTGAAAAGGCTTTGATATTTCCAAATCTGTCTAAAGTCTATTTTTTGTGAAGTTGTTGATATTCCCCATCAACTTGATCGCTAATTAGCAACTTGCTAAGTGACAATCCCTGTCCCAGTGAGTACACATACCAATAAGCACCAGTCACCCCCCCAACCCCCCAAGGTTTGAACTCTGACATACAACGAATGAAAGGAAAATGTCTTTCCAGTTCCTTACATCCCACAGGCAGAGATGAAACTTATATCTGAAGCAAACTAAAGCAGCAACCAGAAAGAAAAAAAAATCTGAATTGATTTATAGCACAGGAGGTGGTATTAGGCTAAGATGATGAAGGCTTCCCCCACAGTAGGGAGAAATATTGACAAGATTCTTGATATGAGGGAAAGGATAAGGGTGGTCATGAACAAGAGGGAG